CAGAATGCCTTCCATTAGATAAATATTTACAATGGGATATTGGTACCAAAAATCTCACCTTAGATCAAATGATGCGTATTTTGTTGTGTCTGAAAAATACTGGTAGTTGGGAAGAGGCTCTGAAATTTGTTCCTAAGAGAAAACATACTGGTTATTTGGAAATTTCTCAGCATTCTCAAGCATTTGTCAACAGATTGAAAAAGGCAAAGAGTTTTAATTCTTTTCCAAAAGGTTCATATGTGCACACAGAAAAGGTAGCTTGAATAAGAAAATTTATTAGCTTAAAAATTGAGTGGAAATATAGTTTTATTAGTGTTTCTTCCTGAACAGAATTCCTTTCCCTTTCTTTAAAAGGCAGTTTGTTCAAACTAACTGCAAGGTTTAATCTATTCCTAGTTACTTAAAATCTGCAAAACCTTGAAAATATATTTCATATTACCATAAAAAGAAAATCAGAGAAGGTTGTTTGGGTGTGTTAAAGCAAATCTTGAAGTGAACCCAATAAAACAGTTGTACTGTTGGTGTGACTTTAATGGATCGAGCCTCATATTCTCTTTTACTTGATAAATATTCCATGTCAGCAACCATTCTTTCATGAAAAACAGGTTTTAGAAAAGGTTTCTAAACTTCAGGTGGGGGTTCACTTACTAAATTCAAGATTGGCACAATGCTAGGCATGCCATAGGCACTAAGATATAGTGCTTAACTGAATCTTAACAAAGGCTGAGACATCCTTGGGCATGTCCTTTTTTAAATTTATTTATATTTGGTGCTACTGAAAATCGAACCCAGTGCCTCACACATGCTAGGCAAGCATTCTACTGAGCTACAACCCCAGTCCCCTGGGTGTGTCTTGTGATTTGACTCTTCTTTGAAAAACTAGTTTGTGGAGATAAAACTAATTTCTTGTCCTATAAGGAATAAGAGGTTTTATTTGTTTAATGTTGCATATAGTACTTTGTCTGCTGTAGTGTTGATGGCTTTTCTTTTCTAGGAAATATTGTTTCTCCAGCTACATGGTTTGAATGGAAATTGCCATATTTTACAGACATGGCTCCCCTGGTCACTGCGGTTATTCAAAAGAGACACCTCATTCAAGCTGGGCTTTCCATAGTATTCAACCTACCTTGGGCAACATCAGTCTAGGGTTGAGCGTCTGACTTTCAAGATAGGCCAGTCATAACTTTTCCAGGATTTCTGGATTTGAGGTGGTAGAGTTTGATAGACAGGAAGCTCTGGAATTGCTGGTAACCATACCTTTTATTATGGCATAAGCCAATCTATAGTGATTATGTACAGAAACAAGACCAATTTCTGGAGCCGTTCAAATCCCTGGTTCCAGCTGTTCCTGATGTCCAGTTATAATTTACTCCTTGTTGCTTAAACCTCAAGGAATACCATGGCATGCTTTTAATAAATTGCACCCTTTTTTTTTTTTTTGCCTAAGCCAACGTGAGTTGGATTTGTACTCCTTGCTACCAAATAAGTCCTAATATACTTGGGGAAAATATATACTTATTTCCTAAGAAATTAACTTTAGGAAGGATATTCACTGTAGGCTACCTGCACCATTAAAAATTCTGAAAAATGGGTAATGGAAATAATATTAAGGCTAATGAAACTGTTTCTCCCTAGTTTCTGAGTTCAAAATTAGCATGAGATAATTATGTTGAATACATTTCCAAAATAGGATCTAATCTACAAAGTAGTGTACTACCAGCTTAATGCCAAACAGCTTAGTATGCCATTTGCATGAATTATTTAAACAACTAAGTTGTACATACTATCATTAACACATTTTTTACAAATAATAAAAATAATTTAGCTTTCAAATGTAGACTCACTAGAGTCCCACCTTTAAATTTATTATATAACCCACATTGTGGGATCAAGAAAGGCCTTGAGAAAGTAATATGCAAACTCAGACCTGACAATGAGAAGTTTGCTAAGAATTCCAACTGTTAGTCCCTATTAAAAGGCAAGTTATTGCCAGGTGCAGCGCCAGAGGCTGAGGCAGGAGGATCTCCGGTTCAAAAGCCAACCTCAGCAAAAGTGAAACTCTTAAGAAACTCAATGAGACTCTGTCTTTAAATAAAAGACAAAAACAGGGCTGGGGATGTGGCTCAGTGGTTGAATGCCCTCGAATCTAATCACCCCAATGCTTACTTTTAAGAAACACACTGAAGGAAGTATTAAAAAATAAGTAAATAAATAAAAGGTAAGTTCCTGAACTGCCTGAGATACATTCAAGGAAAAAAAAATAGTACTGTAGGGGTTAAAAATAAGGGATTAAAACTTCTTGGCAGCATTGGGGCTAGAATGAAATTGCATTTTGTTGTAGTTCTCTGCCTGAATTGTACATTAAGCGCCACTTTTTTTTGGGGGGGTGAGGTGGGGGGCATTCCACCACTAAGCCACATCTCCAGCCCTATTTTGTATTTTTTTTAGAGACAGGGTCTTACTGAATTGTTTAGTGCCTTGCTTTTGCTGAGGTTGGCTTTGAACTCCTGCCTCAGCCTCTGGAGCTGCTGGGATTACAGGCATGTGCAACCATGCCCAGCTTAGCTCCACTTCTTAACTAGCTTTTTCCATATCCCAGTTTCCTTGTCCATAAATGATAGTAAGCACGAATTAGGATTGTAATCATTTAATGTACGTAGTTTCATGTTAAATACTTACATACAGTAAATATGAATAAATGTATAGCTGTAACCTTATAAATTACACATCTAAGTTAAAATAATAATTGTTCATATTATCTTCAATTTCCAGCTTTTAAAACCATTATTTGAATGATTCTTTGGAGGTTATAAACAAGCTACCATTAAGCAAGCCCCACCCTGACTGGCAGCATGTTGTTAATTTTACTTCCATTATCTCACATTATATTCAGTAATCCTAGAAGCATTTTTTTTATAGTTAAAATATATTTAGAAATATTATCAGTCAAACTTAAACAATTAGCTAATGGCAGAATCAGAACTTAAATCCAGTTTTGTGTAATGCAAAACTACTGTCTTTGCTTTGCACTAAACTACTATTTCATTCCTTAACCCATTTGAGGTGAATTACTGAAACCTGCTTTTTTTTCAGTTAGTATTTATCAACAGTGATATGTTTCCTGGGGGAAACTGTGTTGAGCAAGATAGGCATAATTTGACCTCTTGGGAATGATGGATGAATGGATTACAATTCTTCATCCTTCTATAGTGAGAGTATAAATGATTACCTTGCAAAGATCACATGTACGAAAGATGAAACAAACACAAGTACTCTAAGTTTTCTGATCACTTCTACATATAAAGATAAATAGTAGACCAGGGACTTAAATTTTGATTATAAAGTCACCGAACTATCCTATTTTTTTTTCTTTTGTACTGGGGATTTAACCCAGGAGTGCTTTACCATGAGTCACATCCCCAGTCCCGCTCCCTTTTTTGAGACAGGGTCTCACTAAATTGCTAAGTCTAGCCTTGAAACTGTAATCCTGCCTCAGCCTCCCACCTAGCTGGGATTGCAGACCTCTGCCACTGCAAACTGCCCTATTTCTGTTTCCCTATCCACAGACTTGAAGCCTAAAGTCATCCATCCACAATACTGAGCACCTCTTATACATGAAATGTCTTGTACAAAGTTGTGAAAAAAGTTTTTTTTGATGGTTATCTGTTGTCAATGTATTCCTTTTTTCTTCATGCTGGGGCTGGACCTCTAGTTCTTGGTCATGTGTGTGCTAAGGTCACACACTACCACTGAAACATAATGTCGGACCTAAGGAATTTTTGAACCCTAAAGACAATGCTTGCTTTTTTTTTTTTTTTAATGGTGCTGGGGATAGAACCCAGGGCCTTATTATGAGAAGTAAGCACTCTAGCAACTGAGCTATATCCCGAGACCCAACGCTTTTAAGAAACACACTGAGAGAAGTATAAAGTGAACAAAGAATGGCATATATAAATTATCTAATTTGATCCCCATAATCACCCTTTGAAGAAGCACTATTATTGTATTTTATGGAAAAACAAAGGCAAGTCTGTGGACAATAAGCAACTCTCAAAGTTACCTAACCGGAGAAGGGCAGATCAGATTTTAGAGATTGTTTTTCCTTGACGCTGTGCCTCATGGCTGTAATCCCAGCGACAGGGGAAGTGAGGCACATAACAAGTTCGAGGTCAGCCTCAGGAATTTGGCTACACCTGGTACACCAAATAAAAAGGACCAAGGATGTGCTCAGTGGTAAAGGTCCAATCCTCGGTACAAAAACAAGACAAAACAACAACAAAAACCCTTTGTTCTGTAACACTGACTACATATATTGTAAGGTAAACTCTGAAACTCCAGTTCCCTACCTAAGCAAGTAATCGACCCCATTTGGCTAAAGGACAGGATAAATTAGATAAAACGGGACGAGGAGGCCACGTGTAACGTATGCGCTTCATTCTGCAGAACTTAAAACTCCACTAAAGGTTTCTAAGTAATGCAGAAATTACGGTAATCTTAATTTGATGGAGAAATTGCAGCCTTTGGGGAAAAAAAATGGTTTTTTATCACTTCGGCACACGACCTTGGACAAATTATTCTCAGCTTTAACTCAGAAAATTAAGATAATTCTGCATTGGATTATAGTGAGGACTAAACCATAGTGTATGTCTAACACTAGAGGGTGCTCGATAAATGTTGGTTTTCCCTTAGGGAAAATACAGCACTCTTTGCCTCCCCACCCTGCCTCCACCTTTCCTGGGCACATGTGACCAGGAAAGCCAGAAAGACCCTGCCAGCTTCAACTGCAAGCACATCTGCAAAAGCAGAAACCTGCTAAGGCTCCGCCAACGTCTCCAGGGTTACTTTCTCACATCCCATCACTTCTCCGGATCTGCCACTGACGTGCCTCTCCCTACCCAGTCTGATGCATAGAACGCCAATCCCAGCGCTCCTCTTTCCCCTCCCTTTCTTCAGAGGCAGTCACTCGATGACGTCACATCCGCTTGTCTTGGGCGGTCCCTCTTTTCACTCATCTGGGCCTCTCTAGTCAGCGACCTCTCCCGATGGCTCTAAAGCTCAATGGTTGCTGGGCGGGGCCGTGACGTCCTTGGCGTAGCTGCAGGGGAGGCCGCGGCGGGGAAAATGGCGGACGGGAAGGCGGGAGAGGAGAAGCCTGAAAAGCCGCAGCGAGTTGGAGCCGCCGGAGGTGAACACAACCCCAGCGTCGCGGGATGTGTGGGATGCTCTGGGCCTTTCGTTGAGCTCCCCGGGGTGGGGGGAATGGGGAGGAGAAAGATTGGGCGAATCTGGCGCTCACTCGGTTAGGTGCTGGGCCCAGGCGAGCCCCGGGCACGCCTGGTGCGGCCCGCTGGGATCCCGACCCATATCGCTTCCTTGCTGGGAGAGAGCTGGCCACTGTCCCTCACCTCATGGCCCCTGTGGAGGCCCTCCTTCTGAGAAGGAAGATGGGCACCAGAAAGGGAGACTGAAGTTGGGGTGGGACCCGGAGCGGCGGTGCAGGAGCCGCTACCTCCACAGCGGAGACACACATCACACAAAACACACCACCACACACTCTCACTCGCCACACACAAACACACACAGTGTGAGCCACCGAGCAGTGGCCGCGGAAACTGGCCCAAGGCCGAGTTTCCAAAGGTGCAGATCTCTCAGTTACACACGTAGGAGTTAATTACGCTTGCCGTTCCCTTTTCACTGAGGAGGTGGACAACCCCGGCCTGCTCTTTCCTTTACTTTCAGGCATAATAGTGACCCTGTAATGAGATGGACAGAGGGGATGGAGGAAAAGAACAATCACCCGCTGATTTAAGCTGTGGGTTTCTAGGGTTATGGTTTGATCGCCTTTCTCGGAAGTATGCCTTTCCTAATTAGGCTACTACCAGTTTATCGCAAGCCAGATAAATTTAAGTGGCTTAGTAGTCTAGTGTGACTCTTACTGTGTATTGATACAGTATTGAACTAAGGTTACAGCTCTCCTTTTCTGGCCCCGCTACCCTCATAAATTCCAGGTCTTTTGCATTAAGGAGAAGAAACAATCTCCCCAGGGCATCCCCCTTCCCCCCCAACCCCCGTCATAGCAAGACGAGTGACTTTTACGTGGGAGCTGATTATATTGTCTTGTTTAGAACGCTTTTTAAATGTTATTTTCTATTCTGACTCCGTTAAGTCTTATCCCTGAAAGTATTTAATATGAGAAAATACAGAAGATTAATAGCACATGAAAGCAAATAATATGACCTACTAACATGTTTAATGTGAATTGTAGTGGGATCAAAAAAAATATTGAAAAAGTGTAATGTTCAGAATTTCTTTTTAAAAAATATGGAGAGTTGTTATTGGCAGAAATGAAGCCCCCCACCCCTGTTTATTAAAAGCAGTAAAATAGCTTATGAAACAGTGTAAAACATCTAGCACTTGTCTGGAATATTTTTTTTTCTGACCAAAAAAAAAAAAAAAAATACCTGAGAAACTGTCAAGTAAAATTATGTAAAAATTTAGAAGTAATTTGAGGAAAAGCAAAAATACAGAGCCTAAAGCATCTTCTGTATTCCTGACTTTAAAGAGTGGAGGAGATGTGTTTAATGTGCTGCCAGAATATACTTTAAATGTTAGCATAAAGACACTGTAATCTTCCTGCCACCTTTCAGTTGAGAGTAGTTAACTCTGTATTATGAATATTCATGTTTCCATTTTAGGGTGTTTGGGGATTATAAAATTACTTTGCTTGGGGAGCAATTGGTGGGTACACCTGTAATACCAGCAGATCAGGAGGCTGAGGCAGGAGGATGGGGAGTTCAAAACCAGCCTCAGCAAAAAGCAAGGCGCTAAGCAACTCAGTGAGACCCTGTCTCAAAATAAAATACAGAATAGGGCTGGGGATGTGGCTCAGTGGTCTAATGCCCCTGCGTACAAAAAAAAGAAAAAATTACCTTGCTTTAGTATCAGAAAAATTATTATTGTTTTTGTTGGTAACTTAGAATAACTACTATCCCTGAATTTCTACATCATTAGCCTCATTTCCTTTACAAAAAAGTAGTGCTGTTGCATCTAAGCTATATTTGGAATATCTTTTTTTTTAATATTTATTTTTTAGTTATGGGTGGACACAGTGTCTTTATTTTACTTTATGTGGTGCTGAGGATTGAACCCAGTGCCCCACGCATGCTGTGGGAGCGCTCTACCTGTGAGCCACAACCCCAGCCCTGGAATGTCACATGTTTTTAATGCAGTTGTGCTAAGTAATCATAGTTAAAACATTTCATACTTTGGATATTTCTACATTGATAATTTTGTTGCAAGTAGTCACTTTTTAAAGAACACTGTCATGTTTGTCCTATGGACAAACCAAGCGAGTATTCAGAATTTTTATTCCTATTGAGTAATCCATTACATTGGAAATATAAACACTTCATTTTTTTTTTTTTTAATCTTTTGTTAGTGCAAGGGATTGAACCCAGAGCCTCACCATGCTAAGCATGTGCTTTACTAGTGAGCTACACTCCTAGCCCCAGAAGTATGTGGGTTTTTATGATCAGATTACTTCTGTAGTTAATGTGTGTCTGAGAGAGACGCTACTTACTTGAACTACCTGTTTTCACTTTAAAGAGGAGTTACACTTTGGATAGATTTTTTTTCCCTCCTCTTTTTGGTTAAATTTTTATAGCTTTTTAAGATAAATACAATTTTAAAGAAGAGCTATATTTACATAATCTTAAGCTAATGCTAAGGGCTTGGGTGGTAGCTTAGTGGTATAGCACTTACCTAGCAAGTGTGAGGCACTGGGTTCAATCCTCTGGACCAATTAAAAAAAATAAATACAATAAAGGTATTTTGTCTATCTACAAGTAAAAAATATTTTTAAAAGATTATGCTAAGAACTTCTTCAGTGAAATTGACATTTACTGTGCCAAACACTTAATAGGGTCTTGAATACATTCTCATATAAATGGCACACCAGTCCTATCACAGAATAACTGTGTGCCCTTTTTTGGATAAGGAAGCCGACAGAATGCAAATGGGTCTTGAGGGGTACCATTATAGACATACTTTCTTATTGGGTAATTTTTTCAAAACAAAGTACCCTTGTGCTCTAAGGCATACCCCACCTATTCAGTGAAAAAGGAAAAAGAAAAAACTATTAGCATAATGTGCAATTTGATTTCACATTAATTAATCTATGCATCTTGTTTGCTCAAAATGAATACAAATTAAAATCCCTTTTATTAAAATGTTCTTTAATAAAGAATTATAGTTTGTATTTTATCCATGTTTATGTTATAAATTGATACATGATTTCTTATTTTAAAAATATTGATTATGTGTTCATTTTTAAACTACAATTCACTTTACTAAAAATCTTCACATTTAGTAATTATTGGTCATCTAAACTTTTGTTTCCCACAGACCCAAAATACAGGATGTCTCATTTTAAATAATGGTAACGGATTTGGCTCTCATGTTTTCCCATCTTAGTCCATTGTTTATTCCTTTTGCTTTATTTTCTAAGTACTTTGTGTGGTTTGCCACATAATTGTTAAGAGCGTTATATAAAGATAAAATAGAAGCTCAATCCATGTGACACATTGAGCCTTTAGAAGCTAAGAAATGAAGCTGAGTACAGTGGTGTGATCCTGTAATCCCAGGCATTGGGGAGGCTGAGGCAGGAAGATTACAGGTCAAGGCCAGCCTTAGCAACTTGGGGAGACCCTGTTCGAAATAAAAATAAGAAAGGCTGTGGGTGTAGCTCAGTGGTAGAGTGCATGGGTTAAATTCCCAGTACCACAAAAAATAAGTAAATAAAAATAAAGGTAGGGGTTGGGGATGTTGCTCAAGCAGTAGCGTGCTCGCCTGGCATGCGTGTGGCCCGGGTTCGATCCTCAGCACCACATACAAAGAAAGATGTTGTGTCCGCCAAAAATTAAAAAATAAATATGAAAAATATTCAAAAAAATAAAGGTAGGAGGGGCTGGGATTGTGGCTCAGCGGTAGAGCACTTGCCTCACTATGTGAGGCTCTGGGTACAATCCACAGCACCACATAAAAATAAATAAATAGAGGTGTTGTGTCCATCTACAACTAAAAATAAAAAAGGAGAGCTGATCGTGTACCTTCCTTCCTTCATTTCTCCCTCACCTAGTCATCTTCTGATCTGAAGATGTTCGTATAATTTTTACAGTGGCTTTAAAAACAAAACCAAAAACACTTTTTTTGTTTGGGAAGGCCAATTTATTTATTATGTACAGAAATAAATTGCTTGATCTGGACTCAGTCACGTGTAGGAAAAAACCTAATAAACATAGTGTGGGATGGAGGTGTAGTTCAGTGGTAGAGTGCTTGTTTATCATATTTGAAACACCACAAAAATAAACAAGAAGGGGGTGCAGTGGCCATGCCTATAACTTTAGTGGCTTGGGCGCCACAAATTCAAGAATAGCCTCAGCAATTTAGCAAGGCCCTAAGCAATTTAGTGAGACCCTGTCTCAAAATGAAAAATTAAAAGGGTTAGGGATGTAGCTCAGTGGTAAAGCACCCCTGGTTTCAGTCCCTGTACCAAAAACACATAACAGTATGTATTTGATCTTTTGTGTGGACCTGTGATATGGATGGTCTAGTATGCCTCTTCAGATGAGAAGAACAGATGTGAATGGGATTAAGTTGTTACCAGTTGATTATGAAATGAATAGTAGAATAGTTCTCCATGCTACCTTTTTCTGAAGTAATCTCCATGGAAATCTCTAGAAAGATTTCTTCTAATGGGATTGGACAGTATTGTAGTCCATTTATTACACATCCAATTTCAGCTAGCTGACACATTTAACATTAAAATAAGAATCTTTTCCCTTTTTCTTATTTATACTTTAAATTTTCCAAGTTGCCTGTTCTAAGATTATTTTTAGAAAAGGAAACTAAAAGAAAAGATAGGCTTTAAAAGAATTGGAAATCTTAACTAATTATTGCCTTTGGGTCATGATTCAAAAAGAAGAGTTACACTACAATCAAGTCTAAAGCGTTCTTTATGCTCTTTATTTTAATGTTTTCCAATTTTGTTTGCACACAATTTGTGCCTTTATAGACTGTAATATGTAAAGCCAATGGGTTTTCTGTATGTTTAAATATGTACAACCAAATTTCCAATTTTAACTGTGTATCATCACAGTTTTGCTTGAGTTTTATTATGAAATATCATACTTAAAACTAACGTAGGATAAATTAGTATAAATGCTTTTAGTTGTAAACATAGAATGAAAAACTTAATATTTACATCATACTATTTTTTAAAGAGATTCTATATTTATTAAAAAGTTCTACTTCTCAGCTATTGAATAACAGTCTTTAACTCTTTAGATGCTTTTGTAATTTCACATATAAATAAGTGAATGGCACTTAAAGCAATATTCCAACACTATATTTCCCTTTTAGATAAATCCCGAGCTTAATCCTGCTTAACTACTCCTCCCTACATTGTCACTACAACTTTCACCCTTTGTCCAAAGAGAATAAATTTCCTTTTATTTTTTGTCTAAATAAAATCAAATTTTCTATTCAAAGTGCTATCATTTCAAAACTATACAGTTTTAGATCTATAACCTCAATTCTTTCTATCTTTTGCTCATCAGTCTGTTAATGTTTGGTTCCCCCACCTCCTGCTTACCCCATTCTAACTTTTTGTCCCATTTTCTTTAGACTGTACCCCAAAGCATCTTCTCTTTACTCAAAAGTGAACTCTTTATCTAATGTAACAATACATTCTATGGGGTGAATTGGCATATTAGAGAGAGAATATAAAATTTTTGATGGTGATGATGAATTGATGAATGATGTCTTACATCCCCGTTTGGTTTGGGTTGTTGTTGTTTTTGTACCAGCGATTGAATCACATCCCCAGCCCTTTTTACTTTTTATTTTGAGACAGTTGCGGAGTTGCTTCAGGCTTCACTAAGTTGCTGAGGCTGACTTTGAACTTGTGGTCCTCCTGCTTCATTCTCCCACCTGCTGGGCTTACAGGCATGGGCCACCATGCCCTTCGTCATAATTAGTCTTCTTATGTAAGAGATCTAAGATATTCTAGATGCAAACTCACAATTGACTGAATACAAATACAGGCAAAATTACTAAAAGACAACATACTTCCAAACCTATATATGTATGCTTTCTACTGTTTGAAGTAGAAAATGTAACGTGTAAACCAAGACTTGTATTAGTGCTTACAGGTAGCTTAAAACAGGTGATAACCATGCTTTCAGAGGAGAATTAAATTACTCAAGAGGAGCTGACTAGACTTTTTGAAGTTCTTTTTCAACTCCTAAGATTGTGTGAGATGTACATGAAGAACACATCACTCAAAAATATAACTAGGCTGTGTTAATACTGAAGTTTGGATAATAATGGTCCTTTACATGATAAGATACTTTGTGTGACTCATACACATTATTGAGAATGTTAGAATTTATTAGCCAAATGTATTATCTTGCCACATGACTGATTCCTCACAGATTAGTTTGCAAAAAATAATTTATGGATCTTGATTTCTAAAAAAGCAGAATTCCACAAATAACTATATTATTGTATGATGTCTGTGGTAGTATTTAGTTGAAGGGTCTTTACTTTTTTGTGAACTCTATGTTTATAATTTTAAATTGCTCTGTATTTTATGCTAGTTAATTCATGGGAGCCTCTTCTACTGCCACACAATCTCAGTTCCTGCTATATACTCTAACAAACAGTGGAAGAGACTGTTGGGTCAGTAGGTGACAACTGCAGAGGTATCTTCCTTATAACGATGCTTTTTGAGGTTGCTGCTCCCATCAATCTGCTCAGTAAAAATAGCTCATCTTGGTAAGTTGTTTCGACTTCACCAGGACCTGAAGAAGAAGCAGAAAAACCTGTGAAAACTAAGACTGTTTCTTCCAGTAATGGAGGGGAAAGTTCCAGTCGCAGCGCTGAGAAGCGATCAGCTGAAGAAGAAGCTGCAGACCTCCCAACAAAGCCTACAAAGATCTCCAAGTTTGGATTTGCCATAGGTAGTCAGACAACTAAGAAAGCATCAGCCATATCCATCAAACTTGGATCAAGTGTAAGTTACTTTATGTATGATATTTGTAATGGGTATTAAGGATTTGTTTTGGAAACCTGCTTTTACCAGGTTATGGTAAATTAAGTATAAGAAGTTGCATTTCTCCGGGCTGGGATTGTGGCTCAGTGGTGGAGTGCTCACCTAGCACATGTGAGTCACTGGGTTGGATCCTCAGTACTACATAAAGATAAGTAAATAAAGGTATTGTGTTCATCTACAACTAAAAGAAGTTTTTTTAAAGATGCATTTCTTAATCTTTCATGTATTAACTTATATGTATTTAAGAAGTGATTAGCACTCTTTAGGAAAGATCAAGATGAATTATCTCAATAAAATCAGTTTTTAACAAAGATGTAGAATTTTAGAAGGAACAATATTATAGAAAATGCATGATTTATAAAGTAGTGAGTTTGTGTCAGTTAAGCAAGACCTCTGAAAGATATTTTGAGAAAGAATTTCAGGGTTTTTTTTTTTTTTTTTTTTTAATCTTTCAGTTTCAGTAACAATATCTATGGACTAGGGGATAGCCCAGTGGTAGAGCATGTGGTTAGCATTTGGAAGGCTTTTGCTTTGATCCTTGGTACAACACAAAAAAGTAATATCTCCAGAAATCAGTTATTTGTATCTTAAAAGATTAATTTTAGTAAGATATTGCTTGATAAGAAAAGCTTTCTGATTATCTTTGAAACTAAAACTGGACCTTGAGTACTATGTACTTTAAGGCAGTAATCTTTTAAAGATCAATGTTAGATCCCTTGTTTTAAGATATAAACCTCAAATTAATATTTTTTTAACCATGGAACCTATGGAAAATGAATGAAACTATGGAAATGAATGAAATTGACCTGGGAAGTACAAAGAATGAAAGGTTGCTACCAGTAGTAGAATCCTAGGTATCTGTATTGTTAAGTGAGGAGCAGCAGGGAAGGGGGAGAGAAAACAATAGGTCAGAGAATTAGCAGACTAACCAGTTAAAAAAAAAAAAAATTGTTCCAGAAGACAAGGGAGAGATGTTTTCAAAAAGAAGCTGGTGGTTAGAATCAAATGCAGCACACCAGTTATTGGTGACCTCATAAAGAATAATTCTAGGGCGATGGTAGATGGTTAGGGTGGGAGCTAGATTGTAGTAGGGTGAAGACTAAATGGGTGGTGAGAGAATGGAGATAGAATAATTTATTTTGTTAAAAATTTAGGTCATATAGAAATGATGACTTGTCTGAAGCCCAAAGGGTAAAAAGGATAGACGTAGAGTTTTAGTAAAAAGGGTAGAAGAAGATGAGTCATGATGCCTTGTATGTTCTCAAGGCACTTTTATACTAATTGTTACTATGGGAACGTATTATTTATCATTTTGTATCAAATACCCTTTGGCTTAAGTAATATTAAATTATAGATCCTAGCTGGAGAATTATTTTTTCTAATAGGTAAACAAATGGGTATAATAAATAACAAAGTTGAACCTACCCACAGATAACCTGCATTTTCAGACATAGTGCAAATACTAGGTTCCTTACTATATAAATTTATGAAAACAAAGTTGAATTTTTCAAGATTTATATCAAACAGTTCTCTACAAATGTGACTCATCTAGTGTTCTTTTTAACGTTTCTTCTTCAGAAGCCTAAAGAAACTGTTCCAACTCTTGCTCCAAAAACCCTTTCAGTAGCAGCAGCTTTTAATGAAGATGAAGATGTAAGTTAATATCTTTTATTTTACTTTAACCAGTTCTTTTAGGAGAGTATTAATGACAAATTATAGGTTATATTAATGGTGTTAACTAAATTGTAGCACCTACAAAAACTGGATATTTCTATTTTGTATTTATTTTGTTTGGTTGTAGGATTATTTAAAAATGTTGTTAAGTTTGGGGGCAAGAAACCTAAGAACCAAAACAACAAATGCTTATTATGAATATATGTGCTAGGAAATATGTAGGATATAGTTGGGGTCTTCAGTGATGATGTATTGTGCTTTCATGTTACAGAAGGCAGCTGTAGTAACATGCTTTCCATAGGAGATGGAAATAGTACAGGTGATTCTGCCAGCACTTCTCAGTAGGCACAGAGTGAGCTTGAGATGCTTATTAGATTGATCAGTTCCAGTTCTCTCATGCCTGTCTTACCATGCTTATGGATAACCAGTGGAATTTTCAAACACGATTTGATTATGATCTATATTAGGCTGTGACTTGAAAATCTAATCCCCATATAAGATGAGAACCCTGTATATGTAACAATCAAGTATTATACAATATATAAGTAATTGTTCCCGAAAGCTATAAGGATAAACATTATATTATTCAAGCTGAACATGGGAGCATACACTTGTAATCCCAGCTACTCAAGAGGTGATGCAGGAAGATCTCAACATAAAATAAAAAGGGATAGGATATATCTTAGTGGTAGAGTGCTTGTCTGACATTTTCAAGGCTCTGGTTTCAATCCCCAGCACCTGGGCATGTAGGGGTAGGGATTATACATTCAGAGGGGCCCAAACACTGGGAATAGAGTGATTTCAGAAGAATATATATAAAAGAAGTAATACAAATTTTATACTAAAACATTAGTCAGGGTTTCAGTAAATCAAGGAAGACTTATAAACTGAGACATCAGTTTTCAAGTCACAGGTAGCAAATAGCACCATTTGGAGAGTTGTTATTTTGTTTTTGTTTTTAATATTTTTTAGTTGACGTACCTTTATTTTTTTATTTATTTATATGTGTTGCTGAGGATTGAACCCAGTGCCTCAGTGGCAAGTGTTCTGCCACTGAGCCACAACCCCAGCCCCTGGAGAGTTTTTTTAGAGGAGTATTGGACAAGGATAAATGTGGAACCATTGGAGCCTGAATCAATAGGGAAAGAATCACTGTGGTTATTACTGTGTTCTCCTTTACTCATTTACACATTTGATTGCTTTGTATGTACTAGGCACTATGACATTACAAGACATCAGACATGTTCCTCTAGGAACTAGTCTAGTAGAAGGAGACTTACATGTAAATTAGTGAGAGATAAAAATGAAAAATACCTGAAGAGGTGAAGTACTGTGGACATTCAGAAAAGAAATAAACAGGTACTGGATGTAGCAGCATAGAAAGACACCTGGACTAGCAATTGAAAGACCTGAATTGTAACCATGTCTTGACTAGTTATTAACCAGTAGAAACCTGAATAAATCATTTTTATTTTTCTGGAGCCTTAGTTTTCTCAACTATAAAACAAAGACTGTAACTTGCCAGGCAAGGTAGTGTACACCTGTAATCCCAGAGGCTCAGGAGGCTAAGGCAGGAGGATTGCAAGTTCCAAGCCAGCCTCAGCAATTTAGCAAGTCCCTAAGCAATTCAGTTAGACCCTATCTTTAAGTAAAATATAAAAAAGGGCTGGGGAAGTGGCTCGGGGGTTCAATCCCCAGTACCAAACAAACAAAACAAAAACAAAGGCTGCATATACATTCTAGGGAAGAACCTGGGGTCCTGCCCATGCTGAGTACATCTTCTAACACTAAGCTATACTCCTAGCAGACTGTTTTGGTGGGGACAGTTTGGTTTTTTGAGATAGTGTCTCACTGTGTTGCCCAGGCTGATATCAAACTCTTTCCTTGTTTCTCCTGAGTTTTGAGATTCCAGGGATGCTTGGTCTCAATTTAGTTGATAGATTTTTTAAAACATTATTTTTAATTGTTGATAGAACTTATATTTTTATTTTTTTATGTGCAATCCTGAGAGTCCAACCCAGTGCCTCACATATGCTAATAAGCAAGTGCTCCACCACTGAGCCACAACCCCAGACCCTACTTCCTAAATTTTTAAAAACTACTCCGAGTTCTTGGATCCTATGGCAGTTATAGTGGTATGGGAAGCTGATGTTTAACAAGCAGGACTCTGGTGTTTTGCCCTTATTTCACTTATAAGTTGTACCTCTATCTGATATTTGGAAACCCAAGTAATTTATTGAGGGGGAAAAAAAAGTATTCTGTTGCCCAGAAGAAAAAAAAATTAAAAACAAAAAACACTAATCTAAATAATATCTGTAACATTCTTAAAGAGAGTAGGTAGCAGATTATAGCATGGAAAATGATATAGGAAGAGGGAAAAATGTGTAGAAGTACATAGGCTGGAAGCACCTGCATTATATAATAAAACCTTACCTTGAATGCCTAACTATTTGATTATCTTTTCACATTATTTTACATTCTATATGTCCCTGTGGATTGTACATGTATTCATATTTTACAAATGGAGAAATTAACCATGCATGATTATATGGTAATTCATACACATTTTGAACCTTAGGTTTTCTGGTTTCTTGTCCTATAGTCTTTGCATCCTACTTTAATTCTTTCATTCATATATATATATATATTTTTTTTTTTGGGGGGGGGGGGCAGGGGGTGATATTGGGGATTGAACCCAGGGCCTTGTGCATGTGAGGCAAGCACTGTACCAGTTCCCAGCCCATGTCTTCCCTATTTTAAAAAAAGTTTTAGAGAGATTGAAACAATATTCTTTCTGCTACAATACTATAATGGTAGTAAACAATAGAGGGCTGGGGTTCTGGCTCAGTGGTAGAACATTTACCTAGTATGCGTGAGGCACTGTGTTCAATTCTCAGCACTTCACATATAAATAAATAAAATAAAGATCCATGAACAATTAAAAAAAGTGTTTTTAAAATTTGTCTCATATATCTAAAATCCTTATCTACTTAATTTTTAAAAAAATATTTATTTTTTAATTGTAGTTGGACACAATACCTTTATTACTTTTATGTGGTGCTGAGGTCAAACCCAGGGCCTCTCACATGCTAGGCGAGCGCTCTACCACTGAGTCACAACCCCAGCCCTATCCACTTAATTTTTTATTCAAGAACATAATTAAGTAACAAAATATATTGTTCAAATATATTGACCTAAGTAGATAACAGTTAATTTTGGCTTTGGGAGCAAGTTGTTGCTTGGATTGAAACCAGTACCTCACACATTCTACCACTGAATTATTTCCCAACCCCAGAGTTTTGACATTTCAAAAAAAAATTTTTTTCAGTTGTCTCCTTTAATTTGGATAATTTCCCTAATCTTTCTGTGTATTTCATGACAGTAACATTTTTGAAGAATACTGGACAGTTATTTTCTACAGTGTCTCTCATTTTGGATTTGTCTGGTGTTTTTTTCATGCTTAGATTCTCATTGCTTTTGGCAGGAATACCACAGAAGTTGTGCCAAGTTCTCAATGCATCATACTAGGGAGCACATGCTGTCAATATGCCCATTCCTGCAGTGTTAACTTTGATCATTTAGTTAAAATGGTGCCTGCCAGATTTCTCCACTATCAAATTTTTGTAAAGCTAAATTAAAATTTATCTTATATGCTTTGAGTATATGTAAAAATATATAATTTCTCAAAACTTCACTCACTAATGTTAAGATCCATTAGTGATTCTTATCAGGATTAGTTATGATAATGTATGCCAAATGGTGATATAATATATGTCACCATGCCTTGTGTATTTATTAACTGTCTCTTACTAAATGAAAGAGCTGTTTTTAATATCTGTGTATGTTTTTACACATATATTTCTAGGTATGCTTATATTCATTCATATATATGTATATACACACACACACACACATACATACATACACACACACACATACACATATACCCACCCCCCATTGGTAATCAAAATCATAAATTGTCATACATATTCAGTTACATAGTTATAACCTATGTGTAAATCAAATTGTGAACATCCATTTCAACACCAAACTCAACTATATACAAATTGAGATAATAAATATTTTAGTATATGTTTTACATATATATCCACATTGTGTTTATATATATGGACATAAACATTCAAACCCTAACTCTAATCTTAATCCTTTTTCACAAATAATCCTGTCTCTACCACTACGGCTCAACAGAAACCTCTAGACATATAGACCAGATTACTTTACATGAATGTACCCCTATATTTGGGGATATAAGTTTTAAAAGTCACATAAAAATCCATAAATATTTTACCTATATATCCATGTCCATAGGCAAACCCAGATTTAACACTTGCTTAAAAATACTATATAACTTTAAAATAGCCATAGATGAAAGTATATTTATAAAATTTTGTATATAATTTTAATTCTATATTAATATGTATTTACATAAATATTGATATGTATTCCAGTGGTAAACCCTCATCCTCAACCTAACTCAGAACTAAACCTAACCCTTCCCATAATCATTAGTCTTCTATACAAAAATCATAATTATGACTTTGGATACCCATATATATTTTTACATATATATTCCTTCATATGTTTATAAATATATATTTATGTGCCCTAATGCTAAACAAAATCCTACCCATAAATTTTCATATATATTCAGTTACATATTCATAAAATACATCTAAACAACAATGTAAACATCCATCTGAAAATTAACTATATACAAATCCCTGTATATTTAGTATTTTCAGGTACGTTTTTACATAAATATTTATATTCATATATTTGGATAATAATGTTCAAAACCTAAAATAATGGTATGCCTCACCGAAACCTCTATACATATAACCATAACAATTTACATGAATGTACCTATATACTGTGGAATATAGATTCATAAATATTGTTACATATAAACAGTGACACTTCATGAATATTTCTGTATTTTGTGAAGTATGTATTTATATATTAACATAAATCCATATATATTTTCATATATGTTCATTTCTGCAGGCTTACCCTATGTTTAACACAAAACCTAACAGTTCCCCTTACCATAACCTAATTAAAGATAAAAGCACATATATTTCATGTGATTTTACTTATGTGTTTATATTCAGATATATTTACATACATTTTTAATCCATAACCCTAACCATAATGCTAGTTTGTAACTCTGAATTAAAACTGTGTGTGTGTGTGTGTGTGTGTGTATATATATATATATATATATAAACAATTACTTGGAATATCCATATATATTTTTACATACGTATTTATATACATCATTATAAACATTTGTATGTACATATGTGACTAATGTTAACCATAATCCTGTTGCTACAAGAAACCCAAATCTTCTAAACCAGACTGTAACACAAATGAAAACACTAAACATACTCCTGTATATTTATAAATTTATTATTTATGAAAGAGCTATTCTTATCACTTTTAAATTTTAAAATTTTATCATATAAGTGTAACTCATATATTTTTATCTTATTCAGTAAAGTATAATTCTCAAATATACCAGATTTGATCAGTAAAAGCCCCCTTAAGTTGGTTTTTTTTTTTTTTTTTTTTTTTTTTGTGTGTGTGTGTGTGTGTTTTGTCATTGGATGGGTTTTTTGTTTTTGTTTTTAAAGGCAGTGTCTGTCTAAGTTGCTGAGGCTGGCCTCCAACTTGCTGTGTTCCTGCCTTAACCTCTCCAGTTGCTGGGATTATAGGCAGGCACCTCTGTGTCCAGCTTAAGCTAAGTCTTGCAGATAGCATTTTTAAAAATAATATTTCAGGCTGGGGTTGTGGCTCAGTGCACTTGCCTAGCGTGTGCGAGGCCCTAGGTTCGATCCTCAGCACCACATAAAAAAATAAACAAAAATAAAGATATTGTGTCTAACAGCAACTAAAAAATAAATATTAAAAATAAAAATGGAAGCCGTGGCTGCACAGGCAAGGCAAAGAAATAAAGGCAAGATCGCAGACTACTGTACCAAGGAAGACCCTGCCCATCCATTCCTTTGCACCTCTCTCCTGCATCACCATACTGACCACATCTGTGGGCATCTTAAGTTGTAGCTGCAGATGGGGACCAGTAGCTCCCACTTTAATTTTAGCATTTTGTCTCCTGCACCCACTCCCTTTGTAGATTGTAATCAGAATAGAAACTCTGGGGCACGGGTTCTCAATCTAAGCCCAGGGAAGGCTCCTCATATCCAAAAGAGTTGAGGTAGTAGTTGTTGGTTTTTTTCTTGAGAAGGGTAGGGAGGAATTGTGCCAAGGCATGACCAGTGAGAAGAAGCCAGAGAGCCTGTTTGTGTCTCTAAGAGCCAGTTCTGTACTCTTCTGTATTCAGGTCACTGGGAAGATGGGTAGCAGGGGGCTCTAGTCATTCCAGTGAAATACAAAAGTAACCTGCATGGTGATTTAAGAAAGACAACTCCCTTACCCCAGAGGAGCTGGCTCCAGAATGTTGGGATCAACCCTAACTTTTGTTACATTTACTTTCACTTAAGAAAAAAATATACATATATATAAATAAGTACTAAACAAAACCCTTCTGTGTTTTTTCTAGTGGTGGTTAGTCCCACATGTGGTCACCAGAAACTAAGCCATTCCTCACACCAATATGGGATAAGCTCCTTGGCCTGTAAGGTGCAGGAGTGTATCTTGCTATGTATCTTAGAATCTCTCCTCTGCCTTGTTTTGTGGCAGTGACATGCCTCTTGATCATGTCCAAGCGTGTCTTTTACTATATCTGATTTCTGAGTCTTGTTCCAGTTGCTTGGCCCTGCCCCAGAGGCCCAGTACTCATTTAGCATAACTGTAATAAATCTTTTTTCCAGATCAGTATAATAAAGGAGTGATGTGCAATAAAAAAAAAAAGATATTGTGTCTAACAGCAACTAAAAAATAAATATTAAAAATAAAAATAATAATATTTAGGCATGCCTGGTGGCACACATCTGTAATCCAGCTACTCAGGAGGCTGAGGCAAGAGAGTAGCTAGTTCAAAGCCACTCTTGGTAGGGCTAGGGTTGTGGCTCAGTGGTAGAACATTGCCTGGCACATGTGGCGCACTGGGTTCAATCCTCAGCACCACATGAAAACAAAACAAAGGTATTGTGTCCATCTACAACTAAAAAAGTCTGTCTTGGCAGTTTATTGAGACCCTGTCTTAAAATAAGAAAGGATAAGAATGTATCTCAGTAGTGGAGCACTTGACTAGCATGTGCTAACTCCTATTTCAATCCCCAGTAGCACAAAAAAAATATTATTATTATTACTACTAAGCTAAGCAATAGCATTTATACATAAAACCATAAGTCTGAAAAGAACTCAATCTCACAATTTTCAGTAGCTGAAAGTATAGAAAGTAATAAGGACTGAGTTTTCAAAATGTCCTTAGAATTAAAGAGGTACTTTTGAGAAAGAACAGTACAGTAAAGGGGTTAAGGATCTTTGCTTTGGCATCAGACTAGTTTGCTAATCATTAACTTTGTGATCTTGGGCAAATAACCTTGTCATTTAACCTATAAAATGCAAATGATTATAATCATACTGCACATGGGACTGCATTGTTAGAATTTTAAATTAAGATAGTGTAGATAAAAGCATTAAACACATAGTATAGTACATAAATCATTAATGATTTTATTTCTATAATATGGGCTTTTTAAGTTTAATTCTTGAATTTACAACAATTGTACATATTTATATGGTACAGTGTACATATTTATAGGGTACAATGTAGCATTTCAGTACATGTATACAGTGTAATGATCAGATTAGGTTGATATGGCTTATCCATTACCCCAGACATTTGTCTTTTGTGTGTGTGTGGTGCTGGTGATTGAACCCAGGTCCTTTGCATGAGAGGCATGCACTAAGTTACTTATCTGAGTCCAGAAGCACAAACCTGTAATCTAAGCAACTTGGGAGCCTGAGGCAGGAAGATTGCAAATTAAAACCAGCCTTAGCAATGTAGCAAGACCAGAAGCAACTTAACAACTGTCAAAATCAAAAGATTTGGGGTTCTAGCTCATTGGTTAAGCCCCTCTGGGTTCAATCCCTGGTACCAAAAAAAAAAAAAAAAAGATGGACTGGGGTTGTGGTTCAGCGGTAGAGCGCTCGCCTAGTACGTGTGAGACCCTTAATCCTCAGCACCACATAAAAATAAACAAAATTTGTTGTGTACAACTAAAAAAATAAATATTAAAAAAAAAGTTATTCATCCTACAAACCTGTCAAACCAAACCCCTATACTGTTATCATCCTTCTGCTTTCCTGACCTCTGGTAACTACTGTTGTACTGTATTTCTGTGGCATCAGCTTCCTCACCATCTACATATGGGTGAGAACATGCTGTATATGTCCTTCTCTGCATGATTTATTTCACTTAATGTCCACACCACCCTGATCCATTTTGCTGCAAATAACAGTATTTCATTCTTTTATTTATTTTGGTTTAACAATATTCATTATGAATTATGTGCCATTCTCTAACCATTCGTCAGTGGACATTTAGGTTAACTTCATATTAGTCATAGCTATTATGAATATTGCAGCAATAAACATGGGAATATAGATATATATCTCTTTTGTCATACTGATTTTCTTTCCTTTAGATATATACTTACTAGTGGAAGTGTTTGACCATATGGTAGTTTTATTTTTAGTTTTTAGGTTTTGTTTTTGGTTTGTTTTGTAATTGGGATTGATCCCAGGGACACTGTACCACTGAGCTGTATCCCCAGACCTTTTTTACCTTTTATTTTGAGAAAGGATCTCATAAAGTTGCCAAAACAGGCCTTGAACTTGTAGTATTCCTGCCTCAGCCTCTTGAGTAGCTGACATTACAGGCTCCTGCCAGGGTACCTGGTTATTTTTAGTTTTTTAAAATCTTTTTGATAAAAGCCATAAAATGAGATTTTGAAACTATGATTAAAGAAATTTTAATTCACATAATTGAACATAAGAGCACAGATTGGTGTTTCATTTCATGTATACAATGTGTTGAATGAGATTTTTACCACATTTTTTTCTTTACTCAAAATCAGCACTCTGGAAAGTGCCTTTCTATTAAAACTGTGGTTAAGACAAATAATTCACTAATTTTCTTCTTTTACAGAAATTTGTAGCATTTGAAATGTTTTAAAAGATTTAGATGTAAAATTTAGCATGATATTTATCTCAGTTTACTCATTTTTTTCTTCAGAGTGAACCAGAGGAAATGCCTCCAGAAGCAAAGATGAGGATGAAGAATATTGGAAGGTAGTATAGTTTTTTGTAACTATTACAGAAATAGAGGGATGATGGGGATGGAGTTGTGGCTCAGTGGCAGAGCACTCACCTAGCATGTGTGAGGCCCTGGGTTCGTTCCTCAGCACCACAAAAAAAATAAATAAATAGGGCTATTTAAAAGAAAAGAAAATTAGAGGGTTGAGTTAAGAGTAAGAATAAATTGCATATAATATTTTTAGTGTTAAGGCTTTTCTTGTGCATATGAGCAAAACAATTTTCTATATTTTCTCTCTACTGGAGTTTAAAGATAAGTAAGAATTAGACTTATCACAAAGAAGAAGGGTGATCTTATTTTCTGTGCTTTTTGGAGAAACACTTAACAATAATTTAAAGCTAATTCTTTTTTAATTTTTCCTTCACTACTGGGAACTGAATACAGGAGTACTTTACCACTGAGCTATATCCTCAGCCCTATTTATTTATTTAATTCTAATTAGTTATACATGACAGTAGAATACATTTTGCTACATTGTACACAAATGGAATGCAACTTCTTCCTCTGGCTATACATGGTGCAGAGTCACACCAGTAGTGTAATCATACATGTATATAGGGTAATAATGTCTGTCTGATTCAACTGTCCTTCTCATGCTCACACTCATGAGACAGACATTATTACCCTATATACACAATCCAAAGTGCCTTCATTCTTACCTACCTCCCACCCCTATAATCAGTATCCGCTTATCAGAGAAAACATTCAACCTTTGGTTTTTTGGTTTGGCTTATTTAACTTAGCATGATATTCTCAGCTCCATCCATTTACTTGCAAATGCCATAATTTCATTCTTTAAGGCTGAGTAATAGTCCATTGTGTATATGTACCACGTTTTCTTTGTATATTTTTCTGTTGAAGGGCATCTATGTTGGTTCCATACTTTAGCTATTGTGAATTGAGCTGCTATAAACGTTGATGTGTCTACATCACTGTAATATGCTGATTTTAAGTCCTTTGGGTATATACTGAAAAGTGGGATAACTGGATCAAATGGTGGTTCCATTCCAAGTTTTCTGAGGAAACTCCATATTGCTTTTTCGTAAGGTTACACCAATTAGCAGTCCCATCAGCAATGTCTGAGTATACTTCTTCCCTGTATACTCTCCAACGGCCCTTTTTATTTTTGGAGACAGGTTTCCCTAAGTTGCCTAAGCTGGTTTTAAACTCAGGATCCTCCTGCCTCAGCCTCCCAGATAGCTGAAATTACAGATGCCCAGATTAGGATATTTCTTTTCAGATACTTGTAACCTATATTTTTTCAAATAAGAGAAAGCTATGAAGATGTTTCTGATTTTAAATTTCAATTTTTTTCTAGTGTAATAGAAAAGTGGCTTTTACTCACTACAGTCATAATGATACAATGATATTCCTACCACTTAATCTTGATCTTACGTGTCCTTTTCCTTTGGAAAATATTTTTAGTATCAGGGATGCATCATGCCCTATGTTGGAAAACAGGGTTGGGGGAAAGCAATTTTGCCTCAGGCCTACCGAATTTAAAGTCTTTGAACTGGCTGGTGTGGTGGTGCATACCTGTAATCCCAGCAGCTTATGAGTCTGAGACAAGGAGGATTGTGAGTTCAAAGCCAGTCTCAACAACTCAGTGAGGCCCTAAGCAATGCAGTGAGACCCTATCACTAAATAAAATATAAAAAAGGAGCTGGAAATTGGCTCAGTGGTTAAGCACCCCTGCGTTAAATCCATAGTACCCCTCCTACCCCCCAAAAAAGTCTTTGAACTATCTTTGGAAATAGTATTTTTTAAAAATCTCTGTAGAGGTTTTTGGGGTAGGGATACTGGTAATTGAACCCAGGGGACACTTTGCTATTAATCTCCAGGGACACTTCACCATTGAGGTACATCTCCAGCCCTTTTATTTACTTTGAGACAGGGTCTTCCTAAGTTGCTCAGGGCCTTGCTCTATAGAGTCTTTTTTGACGTTCAGCTTGTGTTTATAATAGATACTAAGTAAATGTGTATTAAAATATCTATAGAATTTTAAATAAATTTATTTTTTTTTAATGCAGGGATACACCAACATCAGCTGGACCAAACTCTTTCAATAAAGGAAAGCATGGGTTTTCTGATAACCAGAAGCTATGGGAACGAAATATAAAATCTCATCTTGGAAATGTTCATGACCAAGACAATTAAATGATGTGTTTTGAAATTGGGGTATGGGGTGGGTGTAAAGTTAAAAGGAACAGTTTCCTTTTTTAAAGAATGGTATAAGACTATCTTTGGAGCCGCTTTTTTTCCTTTTTCGTTTTTGTTTTTGTTCTGTTTTGTTTTTTAAGATTGAGTGGTACACTAATAAATGAGAGTTTGAAATTAGAAGTAATTTATGTTTTATATACAGATTTCAAGACATTTGCTAATTTTGTAGTTTCATGTGATTAGTTTCCAAAGGTTACAGATAATAAAGAAATCAGAAATGGTACCTTTTTAAGAATTGCATATTTTTTTAGGCACAACTATTAGCACATTAAGAGGGAAACAAAAGTTACTATCTTTTTAAAACTGCAAGCAGTTACTCTCCTAACTTAACTCCCTCATTACCTAAACTGTCTGGCTCCCAGGAACAGCCTTATTAGAGAGAAGGGAGTATTGTACTGAGAGGAAAATGTTACTGGACTATTGACTGATAATAAATTTAGATAAAATTAAAATACAGCTTTTTTTCCTTATGGGCATTTGTTTTGTTTCAAGTCATCATATACTAGGTATTGGCATTGCTATCAGTGGATACAAACGCTTAGCTCTTAAAAATGTTTTTATTTCTTTTTTAATTTTTATGTGAAGTATCGAGTATTTGAAATAGCCCACACACCTTAATGGGTCTTGTCTACCTTCATTAGTCTTCAAAGAACAACCATTTGCTACCAAAGTAAATCAGTATTCTGAATGTGCTTCTCTTGGTTTTTATTCATAACTAGTTCCTGTAGGCATTTCCACCAGAACTTGAGGCAAATCATAAGGAAGCTGTTTCTTTTAAAATACAAACCACCACCAAAAATTTAAATGTATATAATACTTAAGCATTTGGCTGGTTTTTATTTTTTAAAATGTATAAATACCAAAAAAAAAAAGAGAGAGAGAGAGAAATTTAACATTGTATGAAGACAACATGAGAAGATGCACTTTCTGTAGCTTTGTCTAATCATTTAAGTTACTAACTTGTTAAACCCAATTTAAATTGAACTCACTGCAGGATTTCTTATTAGTATAATTCTATGGTTTGTTTGAAATATATATATTTACTGACCAGTGTCTTCTCAAAAGCACATTTTAGGTACTAAAAATAGAATGAAAGAAAATGCATCTTCAATTACATTTTATGAAATCTCCCACCACATATACTATTAAGATTTGTGTATCATAAGGTGTTTGTTTTGTATTTTTGTATTGTATATGGACATTATTTTTTAATGTGACAAATACATCTTTAAAAGCATAGTCACAGACAACAAAAATATGGTAATATGATTTCCTTGAAAACTCCTACAATGTTAAATTTGGAGGCAGCTTCAAACTATTTTATTGGTGGTTATTAACTCACTGAGCTCTTTTAATTGGTAATAATTCCAGAGAAGCAGCCTGTATATATTCCTAACTCTTGTTCACTTGCATTTAAGTTTAGAAAGAGCCCCAAGTAAAACAATGGAAATGTATATACAACTATTAGTTCTTAACATGATTTAATTATATCAAGAAACATGAATTTAACTTACTTTTATGTAGGCAAACTATCCATTTTGTCCATTTTACTGTTTGTTAAAATAACATCCCTCTCCTACATATTCTTTTCTTGACCCAAATGAAATATTAACCTAAGGTCAAGATGAGGAGAGAGAAACGACTGAGATGAATGTCTTTACTAAAATACCAATAAATTTTGTCAAACTCAATATAGTGTTCTTATTTTCTATTCCACTGAATTACTTGTTTTTGTTTTTAAATGCTTGTTTGTTTTTGTTTAACTGAGAAGTTAAGACAAAGTTACAAGTGTTTTTCTTGTCCAGGTTGTTGGCCAAAGTTAACAGCATTAAAAGTCTCTTAGTTATTAGGGCCTACATAACTCCACAGAGTTCTATAGCCTAACTATCTCAGGTTGGAAAGACTTTATTCAAATCCTTTTTCCCTACCATAGGGTGTCCCTGTGCTTTGGAAAATCCTGCCAAGGAATAATCATGGAGAAATCACTGAATGTTCAGATTCTTTTACTAGTGCCTTCCATTCATTAACCCTGAATATAGATTCAGACCATACAAGAAAAAACCCAATCCTCTACTTAGTGGGTTTCTTCAAATATTGAAGTGTTTGTTCTACCTTCCCTAAAACACCCCCGCCAAAGTAGTAAATATACCCACTTATTCTGATCTTGTTTTTTTTTTTTTTTTTTTTTGGTATTTTTAAACAATTTGACATCTTGTATACTGCATATTTTCCACATATTGCTCGTTTCTGTATCATGAATTCTAAATATCACCTGGGTATTTTATCCTATTTTTTGTCACTTCTTGATTCATTCACTTCCATGTGTTTAGAGCAGCCTTTTCCTCTACAACTGAGCTATATCCCCAACCCTGTTCATAAAATTAATTTTGAATATGGTGCTATCTGGTATACATCAGATTTCTCCACAAACTATTGAGATTTTCCCTTTTACCAAATGATTTTGTTTCCATCACTTCCTGCTTTTATTATTTGAAATTCTACTGAGAGGAAGAGTTTTTGTTCCCCATTATGATTGATACTAGATCCACATTTTTATATTATTTGGTATATTCATTTACTATCATTATTTATTGCTCAAATTCTCACTTATTTGGCCACATGAGCCCTTTCTGTTCTTTTCACATGTCCCTGTCTTTTAAATTCTGGAAGCACAAAATGTGTCTACTGTAGCCTTGAAATCTGATTTCTTTCTTCAAGCATCTGCTTTGAAAATACATTAAAAAAAAAAAAAAAGTGGCACTGTGTGTACTCATTGATACAAGGTTGTTGGTTTTAACCTGTTTTACAGAGCTAGGAAATATACATCTATATCTATTTCTATGTATATTTTTTAATACCAGTTCACACCACAGAGTTCACTTTAGTCCTCCTTATTTGTACTTCTTTTGTTCAAAACTAGGGAGACATCTGGCTTTACACATAATATGTTTGCTTATTTGCCTAATTCTAGAACATACATAAAGTAGTTTCAGAATTGCCATTTTTTTTTTTTTTTTGCCTTAAGAGAAACAAACTACTAACTAGTGTGTGGTATTTATAATTTATTTTGGTCTTACAGCACATAACCAAAATACTGTTTTACAAAGTTACATAGTTCTTTTCTCTGCTTCCCGTTTCAGCATAGTTATATTACTTGTTTGTAATCAGTTAATTTGGTTTTGATAAGTCTACAGTTGAGAGTGTAGCTCAATGGTAGAGGGTAAGCCTACATGCACAAGGTCCTGGGTCCAATCCCCAGCACCAGAAAAAAAAAAGAAAAGAAAACACACACATAAGGGGTACCTGCCCAACCTTGTTAACTTTTTACATATGTGAAACATTAGCATAGGTAAAGAATTACAGAAAAAGCTTCAGTTGTCCATATACTTTCTGTTCTACTTCTCCTATTCTTTCCTGTTTGCACCTACCCCCAGAGGTAACCTATGTCCAATTTCTGATTTATCCTTCCTTTCTTTTTCCATGCATTTATTGAGGCCATGTCTCAAAAAATAAAAAGGCCCTGTCTCAAAAAATAAAAAGGAACTGATTAGAACTAATACATAATTTTTTTAAAAAAATCCCATAAAAATCTTGGTGTGAAAATGTTAAACTTTTCTTCAAAAAAAAAAAAAAAAAAAAAAAGGACTGAAGGTGTAGTGGTAGGTGGTACTCCTGAGTTAATCCCCAGTACAAAAAAAAACTATCCTTCCCAGCCCCACCCCCCAAACAGCTACATACCACTAAATTCTGTGAATATTCCATATTTTTTTTATTTTTTCCTGTCTACCAATTGAGCTATGGAATTCCCAGCCTCCATAGTTTCTTTTTTCTGCTATTCTATATGTGAACATTTAGGTCATTTCCAATATTTTCCCATTACAATGCTGTAATTGAATTGCCATGTGTATATGAATTTTCATTAAACTGGTATGTATATTCAGGTAAATTTTTAGAATTAGGATTGCTGGGTCAAGATATAAGTACTTTTGGTAGATATTGCCAAAACAAATAAATGCAGTTTGTTTTCCCATCAGGAATATGTAAATGCCTGTTTTTCCATAGTCTTACCAGTAGAATGTGTTTGCCATGTTTTATGTTTGTCAACCTGATAGGTGAAAAAAGGCACTTCATTGTAGTTTTAATTTGTATCTCTCTACCTATGAAGGAGATTGAATATCTTCATCTGATTAAGGGCTACTTTAATCTCATTTCCTATTGTTTATGGTCCTTTCTTAATGTTAAGAATTCTTTACATATTATCTATCTGTGAATATATTTTCTCCAAATTATTTATCTTTGGCTCTGATTATGGTGTGTTTTGCAATAGAAAAGTCATTTTTCCTGTGGTTAACTGTGTTAATCTTTTATTGTCTTTTGATTTTAATAATTAGAATTTACATATGCTGAGTTTAAAGATGAACTCACCCATGTTTTCCTAGTGCTTATATTGTTTCATATCCAAAATTTACAGGGAATCCCTGATCCATTTTGAGATAGTGAATAGATTCACTATCTCAAAACACTATCTCAAAATTAGAGCACTACCTCAAACTATATAAATATATATATATCCATATATTTATATAGTTTGAGGTAGTGTTCTAATTTTAGTTAACTGATATCTTTATATTAATTCTTAGTAATGAAGAACAGTCTGCCTTTTTGTCTTTGGGGAGCATTTTAAAATTTTTATTACATACAAATTTTACACATTTCTTGAGTTTATCCCAAAGTATTTAGTCTTTGTTGCTACTAAAATGGGGTTTTATTCACCATTATGTGTTGGTTATTGTTTCTAGATCTAAAGACGATTAATTTCTATATTTTGTGTATCTTGCTATCAATTATTTTTGCTCTTTGTTATCATTTATAAATACTTACTTTGTTTTATGTGCTTTAGACTTACAAACCTATACGGTAGATACTGTTATCATTATCACCATATTAAAGATGAGGAAATTATTAGAGAAGTAACTTTCCCTGTGGCATATAGCTATGATTAAGTGAGGAAATCAGAATTTGAATCCAGGTGTTATAGTTTGTTTTAGAGTGGTGCTGTCCAAAAAAAAGTCATCTGCAATTTTACCTTTCAATACCCACATAAAGAAGAAAAAGTAACACAATATATCTAAACACTCAACTGAATTTTTTTTTTTTTTTTAGTATTTTGTTTTAGTTGTTGTTGGGCACAATATTTTATTTTTATGTGGTGCTAAGGATCGAACCCAGCGCCCCACACGTGCTAGATGAGCATTCTACCATTGAGCCACAACCCCAGCCCCCCGAATTTTTTTTAATCACTGATTCTGTAGGATTTCAGATGCACCCTCAAACCTACAAACCAAGACGGTTTAATTTCTTACCAATTGTGCCTCTAATTCATTTTTATCTAGTACAGTACTAAATAATAGTAGACAGAGTTTCATTGCCTTAGTCTTGCTCTGAATTGAAGCTTCCCTTGTGTTTTACTACTAAATAAAAGGACCAAAATAAACATTGTATAAAATGTTTCAATTACCAATTCCTGTTAAGGGCTTTTGTCAGAAACTGGATGTTGAATTTTGTCAAAGGCTTCCTCAACACTGTTTTAGCAAGGGCAAATGTGAGGTATTAACTTTAGGGAGAGGCTGGTATACTTTTATACCTAAGAGTACTAAGTACTCTTACCTCTTAGGTGTAAGAGTACTAACTGAGGGCTGAAGAAATAAGTGAATAAGAGAAATACTTAAAATCTTAGAAAAGAGGGCTGGGGTTGTTGTTCAGTGGTAGAGAGCTCATCTAGCATGTGTGGGGCCCTGGGTTAGATCCTCAGCACCATGTAAAGATAAATAAAGGTATTATTAAGTCCATCTACAACTAAAAATATACACATTAAAAAAAAATCTTAGGAGAGGCCCAGAGGCTGAAATTCAAAAATTTGAGAAGGTGTGGCTGCTGCAGGAAATAACAGCACACCAAGCTGTCCACCACCACAATGAAGACATATTTTGGAAAACCCAATTCAATCAATGTATGAAAAATCCTCGGTGCTATGTAGCCCTCCACTTGCTTGGGAGTCCACCGTTGATAATTATTGTTCTTATATTTTACTTCTTTGTATTTTCCTATATATCACAGTTTTTCTACATAGATCCCACGTTTCAGAAATGAGTGGAAAGTAGAGGCATCTCTCAACAAGGAAAATTAAGCTGGCTATCATGTTAGGGTTTAACATGTATGAAACTTTCTCTTACCAAAGACCTCAAGGCACTATAGATATCCACCTAATTATTGCTCATGGACACAGAACATTTATTCATATTTGTGCACTTTTCTTATGTAATGTAATACAAATGAACTGTTATCCTAAATCTTCCCCCCCCCCCCAAGAGGACTCTTTGGGAGCATCTTATTTGGAATATCCACTAAACTCCCATTATTCCGAATTTAGAAAAAAATACAAGTTTGCAAGTTCAAGGTCAGTGTCAGCAACATAGAGAGACCTTGTCTCAAAATAAAATAAAAAGAATTGAGGTGTGACTCAGTGATAGAAGTTCTCTGGGTTCAATCCCTGTACCACCAACAAAACAAAACAAAAATGTGCAAAAAATGTAAAACTTGAGTATGTTTTTCTTCTTTTTAATATTTATTTTTTAGTTGTAGTTGGACACAATATCTTTATTTTATTTATTTATATGTGGTGCTGAGGATT